GGTTGTAGAGAGAGAAGAAAAGAGGAAGGATGAGGCCATTCTTTGGAGATAGGGATTGATCTTTTGGGAGTGTTGGATCTGGGTAGGTTATTTTATTTTATTTTTAAAGCATAAAGAAAATAGATTTTTATTTATTAAAATTCCCTATTTTTATATAGATTTTTAATTAAACAAGTAATTATTTTATTTTATTATATATTTAATTCAATTTAAACAAAAAAGGTGGGCCATTCACATGACACATCATCACTTGTAAAAATACTAAATTACCCATGACATGTCATCAAAACTAACAGAGTTATTAATGGAGATAACAGTAGGGGTAAAGTGGAACACGAAATCACGATCAAGGGTGTTAAGCGGGTCACTTTAACTTTGGGGGGTAAAGTGAGATTTGACTGAAGTTTCAGGGGGCATTACAATAAATAAGTCTAAGAAAATTGACTCTACATTTTATTCTTAATCCTCCCTCGCTACCTTTTTTATTAATTAAAAAAAATTGAAATTAAACAGTTTAGTAACAAAGATTAAATTGTAGGACTTGTTTAAATACTTCGTTCTTCTGGACCCCTGTAGTTCAAGGAAACTATGGTCACCCACCATGAGACCTAATCTAATGGTTAAGAAAAAAAAAGTTTAAAAATCAATATGTTGTCATTTTATATTAATTTTATTTAACAAAAACTAAAATTAAAAAATTAAAAGAAAGGAAAACATGCTCTATGGAGAAAACAAATAACATGTTCTTGGATCCATCGAAGCTCACAGCCACCAACTCCAGTTGAAAACATGCTTGATGTTCTTTTAATAATAAGAGATTTTCTCATAGTTTACCAAATAGGCTGAGCTTCCCAAAAATTTTAAAAAATCACTTATCACCCAAAATAAGCAAATACCAAACGGGCACTTAATGAGCCATCATTTTTAGCCTAAATCATATTTTGCACAAAAACTAATTTTTCATATTTTGATTTGGTCGGAATTTAATTTTCTAGTATTTTTATTTGAATCCAAATGGGGAGTACTTTCTTATTTACATTGTAAACTTAAGTAAATAAAGTAATATAAAAATAAATGAAAGTAAAAGTACAAAGACATTTACTTAAATGTTGAAAATGGAAATAAGGTAACTGTACACGTGGAGTGCCCCACCATCAGCTGAGAAAATGGACAATTTGAAGCACCTACAATGATTTTTCCTACGAAGGGAGGTGCAGCTGTACCTCCTTGCATCTTAATAGGTCCGCCACTGTTGGTGGCAATCTAGTCGACATAAGGGGTGACATTCCGAAGAGGACAAGCAATTCGCTATTGGGTAGGTGGCTAGATGTGCTAGAGTTTTCTTCTCACCACACCCATCCCACATGATTGAGAGTCATAGAGACAAACATACAAAAATGGGCGGGTGGATGTGCGTCTGGGACAGGGAATGGGGAGACAATTTTACCTCGAGAATATTTTAATGGGTTAAAAGTTGACTTTTTGTTTGGGAAAGAATTTGGAGATTTGAGTAGTACCGTTGTGTAGAGCACGTCGAGATGAGTCTGTAGACACGTAGTGGGCTCAAATTGGAGTTGTAAAGAAGAAGTTACTATCAAAAGAAGTCCAGTAGCACAATCGTAATTTTTTCGAAGTTCAGTTTTTAAAAAACCCAGACTTTCTTCATCTCTTCCTCTCCTCCATAAACAGCAAACTTCAGACCGTGATATCTCCTCCGTTCGACCATCAAATCCAATGCCACAACTTGCAAACTCTTCATCTTTCTCTCATCTTTCCATACATACCCATATCTAGCCATGATTCTAAGCGATTAGACCAGAAAATCGATCAAAAACATAGCCCAAAAAAGGGCTGTTTCGAAAACAAAAACTTCGATGCCATTTCCGGCCATCACCCGCCACCAAATTACTTCCAAAACACTCCCCTACCTCTTCTATTGATTTCCCTCAAAGACTCGACCCAATTTCAAGTATAAATTGTCAAATCCAAACCTAAAACTTTCTAGGTTTTTCAAAAAGTAAACCGTTTTTTCGAGGGCTTTAACGGTGGAATTGATCTTCAAGTCAAGATATAAAGTTACTCCCCTTGATGTGCTTGATCTGTAGGTATGAATATTGGCCGGTGGTTTGGAGTTTTCCGATTGCCGAAAAATTGCTCTACACACCTGCCGGCAGTGGTAGGGTGTCAACGTTGGACTTTGGTCCTAAAATGATCCCCACGTAGTCCTGAACACGACGGTATACTCGGATTTCAATTTGGTTACCGTTTGATTGTCGATCGGATTTCACATATTAGGCGTTATCCGGTTTCGATATGTTCAGACCGTTTGATCGACTCCAATTTAAAATATGTTGATCTAGACACTTTTAGGATGTGTAAAACTTCGCGGATTGAGAATCGGAGTCTCAGATACTCCGAATCAATAATTCAAAGTCTAAATAAATGATAACTATCTAATCGTGTGATCGTGAGCAATCCGATCGTTCAATTCGGACCAAACTTACAGGACATGTATTGTAAACCTTGTTGAACCCGTAGGAACTCTCGGTTTGAAAATGGGAGGTTGTGGGCCCCACGGGCCCGGTTGACCCAATTTAGAATGTTTGACCATCGGTTGACCGTGAGTCTTTCGAGGTAGTTTCACCCTTCGAGAAGTGCTAGAACGACCAAGTAAACGAGGCTTAACTGTTTGTGAACTATTTTGTTTATGTTTGGATTTTGAGTTTATGTTGTAGTGTTTTATGGTATTCTTGGGTGTTGTTATGATATTCGAAGATTATCTTGTTATTTATCTATTATTATTGTGATTATTATTATTAAAGTATATGACTGAGTGATATCTGGTTATCTATGAAAGCCTATTGTTTTAATAGTGGAATATAGTATTATATGGAATTTATATGTAAACAAGTGTTAATTAATATTTGAATTACTTTGGGGTTTTGACGGGTTTACAAGATTATGGTTGAGATTATCAAACTTTGATTTCATACTTAGGTTTGTGAATATTTTGTATCTTTATAAGGTTTGTGCTTGAGAAAGGATTTTGGCTACCCATGTAAGAATTGATTTTGGGAAGTTGAGAAAAGATTTGGAAAATGGGTTTGTGAAAGCAGATTTATGGAATAAGAGAAATTTTATGATAAGTGTCGGAATATGGTTTTCAAACCTACCACAGGAGTACCCCCTAGGTACCTTTGAAACAATTTTGTTTGTCATTTATAACAATACCCCACAAGTTTCGGGGACGCCTGAATTGTGTGGTGCGAGAATATGGATTCTCGGCCTGACAACATGTCCCCTGAGTTCTGTGAGGATGTGCGGCTCAAGTTGACTAGGTGTCCCTTGAGTCTTGCGAGGAATGCTGCTCAGGCTAACTAAATTTCTCCTGAGTCTTGCGAGGAATGTGGCTCGAATTGACTCTGTGTTTCTGAGGCTTGCGAGGATGTGTCGCTTATGTGACACTTGGAATTGACGGAATGTTATTGGAATTGACGGAATATCATTGGAATTGAAGGAATATTATTGGAATTGACGAAATGTCATTAGAATTGACGGATCATGAATGGGGGTACGCCTAGGTGGAGAGTATTTAAGTTTTGCGATGTTTTAAACTAAAATTGAGGATTTTATCTTGATATTTATGGGCGAAGGTTTTAATATATGTGTTCCTACTTGAGAGACAAGGATTAAGAGTTTTCTAATTTTTAAGGATTTTGTATAATTCACAATTATTTTTTTGAGTGAAGTTTTATTTTACCATGTCGTTATTTGACTTTATATACCCGTTCTTTTTCTCCTTGTGTATCTTTTCCAATTAAAACGTTATTCTCCTCTCATTATTTTCTTTTCCTTTTCAATTTCTTTTCACATTTGATTATGCAAAATAGGAGGTAAACATAAAGGTTGAATATGTAACTTGTCAACAAAACAAAGAGAAAGAACTACGTATGACTTGATCCCTTAGTAAGGGTACATAGGCAACCAAGAGTTACTAGGTGCAGCCGCAAGATGAAGTGATTGAAAAGTTGTTCAATTAAGTTATTTTGAAATTTGATAACATATTCATGTTCTTCTAAAAGTTGAGATTAGTTTCAGATGGCAAAACGACTTATTTGGTATAAAGAGGCTTAGGGCCATTAAGATTTGATATTTGGTTGCATGAATTCTCTTTTTGTGCATGCTGAACAGTTGTGAATATTTAAATTGTTTGTTGTACAGGTGACAAAGTTTGGGAATGAGCAATTTACAGGGGAGACTCTACCGAATTTTCGGCATAAGTAAATTGTTTTTAACAAATTTCGAATCTTAGTTAGAAGGGCAATTTGGTCAAGTGTGCTTGGCACCTACTAGGTGTCGGACACGCACGAGATTCGGCGCAAATTCCAAAGTAGAATTTGGGTCGGGTCATGTCATTTGGTGTGAGGCTGCCTTTTTTTATAAAATTTTTATAGAGATCTTTTTTAAAAAGATTTATTTAGAATTTTCTGAAGGTTGGAGGGGTAGGTTGATCTTCTTCATTGTATGAAGGAGATGGTGGAAGTTGATCACCTGGTGATGGAAGGTTTTGCCTTTTTTCAATTAGATGTTGGTGCTAGTTGTTTGGTTTTTTTTTAAAAACTTATTTCTAATAACCAAAATAGAGTTTTGATGATACAATTATAATTTTTAATTCGGTTTTTTTTTCTCAACCCTTAGATCTAATCTAAGGGTGGTTGACCACAATTTTCTTGGACTACAGAGGTCTAGGAGAACAATTTTTTTTTCTTCTAACCACAGTTTTCTTGCACTACAAGGGTCCAGGAGAAATACAACTAATTAAATTAAACGCAAGTAATACAACTATTTAAATAAAAGACAAGCAATATAACTAATCAAATAAAAGACAAGCAATACAACCTAATGGTTTTCTTCATTTAACCAATCGGTATTGCTTGGTCCATCGTCATGGAAAAGTCTTCTTCTCATAACATCCCTTCGTTGTAGCTTCCAAAATGACTTTATTTCGGGGATATATGGCTCATATCCATGGCTATGGTTTCCCGATCCTTATTCTCCATGTCTTGTTTGCGTGCATACTTCCTTTCTCTTGTAAATTCTTTATACATTACCTTCTCATTCGCATCTCTTTTCATGTCTCTCTCAATTCTCATTGTGCCGTTCAAAGCAATTTGCTCCAAAACTTTTGTAGTATCATTGGTGGAATTACTCCCTCTCTTGGTCTTTGGCACCTTTCTCCCAATAGGCCTGGACTCCTGTTGGATTGGTGAGTCATGATTCATTGGAGAATCCAAAGGCAAATCCGATGTCGTTGAATCGTGGAGCGAGGTCTCATTCAAGACAACGCGGTCAGACCTGTAGGAATAATTTTGAATCTCGAACATTTTTTACCACCTCCTAACATTGGTGATTTTGGAAAGTTTTTTTGCCTTAGCCAATGGCATCGAACCACATTTATGCTTGCATAATCTTTATAATAAAAAATTTGAAATGCAAGAAAAATTGAAAAAAAAATATTAGACATGAAATTTAATAAAACGACAATTACAAATAATTTACCTTGTTGGCAAGATTTTCGCCACTTCAAACATTGTCTTTCGCTTTTGTCAATGCATCTCTCCATTTCCCCAACTCTTTATTCAAAAAAATTCACATACTAGCCAAGGCTATTTTCGTACGAGCAGAACATGACCTTCCACAAAATTCGGCATGAATTTTTCTATACATATAAGAGAACTTCATCGTATTGTCCGTGATCGAGCAATGACCAACTTGGATCCAACACTCACATAACAAAACATCTTCCATGGTTGTCCACACCCCTCTAGCTTCGATGGAAGATGCCATTTGTATTTCAATACAAATGAAATTTGGAAAGTGAAGAAAATTTGGTGTGGAAAGTGAATAATATTAGAATGAGAAGAAAATGTATGAAGATTTGGTGTGGAAAATGAAGAATATTGGAAGGAGAAATAACGATCGGACAAGCCACGTAGCTTCTAGCCATTGGCAAAAATCAGGGGTGACGCCAGCCTGGCCTAGCGTCGGCACATGGAAGTTTCAAATTTTTTTCATCGTTGGCATGTAAAAAATTTAAAGCCCAGGTGCTGACGACAGCTGCCCCCAGGCACGAGTTTGGACTCTTTTGCTTATGGGCTTGTCTGGTTTTATGGGACCCACCTCCTGTCCTAATTGTTGAAACTCGCTGGAGGCGTGACATGGGCTTGGGCCCCCTCCTATCCAAGCCAAACCGCAGCGGTGAAAGTGCTCTTAGGGGTGGATGTGGTACAGTAACCGAAAAATTTCATGTAAATCGTAAACTGCCTGAGAAATCGAAGTATTGCATTATTTGAGATTGCGAACCGGCCAAAGAGTTGAGGTTAATCGCAAATCGGTCAATGTCCGCAACGGTATCCACCGATTGGGTTGTTTTGGGCCTAAACAATACAAGCAATCCCAGAAAATCCACCACCCTAACTAGGCCTAAAAAAAGGGAAAAAAAAAGAAAGTGGGAGAGAAGATATGGAAACAGACAGAAGACAGAGAGAGGAAGGAGGAGGAAAAAGGAAAGAAGATAGAGGTAGAGAAGAAGTGAGAGCTGAGAGATGGAAAGCGACGGAGGAGGAAGTAGGAAAAATAGAAAGAGAAAAGGAGAGGAGCAGGAAAAAGAAAGAAAGAGAGAGATCGAAAAAAATAGGGAGAAGAAAAAGAAGTAAAAAAGAAAGAAAAAACGGACTTTGGTTTGGCGCAAAAGCAATGCATGAGTGTTGGCATGCCCAACAAATGGCTATCTTTTTTATTTTTTTTAATTCTTGAATTGTATATTATATATTATAAATATAATATTTAATTTTGTGGTGGGCTTTGCCGATGTCAGTTATGCGGTTAAAATGCGATCGGTAAATGCAATTTTGCAGTATTTTCGTTCAAAAAGCCTACCTTACTACGTACCGTTTGACATTGCTTCTTTGGAATGATAAATGATTTTTAAAAAATTTGGAAAGCACTGCCCGTTTTGTAAAATATGAGAAAATCACTTATTGTTAAAAATTGTTGTGAGAGAAAGCAGCTAATGAAGTACTTTCAATTTCTGATTATGCATAAATCAATTTCGAAGAGGCACTAAGTTTAATGATTATGCGGGAATCATATTCTGATTGTGCGGAAATTAGTACCAACAACACTTTTAACAAAAACTTTAGCAAATGTTAAATTGCTTTATCTCACAGCTGATTTCTCTCACAACAAATCTGACAGCGATTATTTTCACAACACATCAATGTCATCAATCACATCCTTTGGTGGGGGCTGCGTTTTATGGACCACAAATCAATCTCGTGACTCTTGTCACGGTGAGCCCTAATTGCTAGCTGGAGCCAGTAATTTTAATATGAACCCAAGCTACTTGTGCTTGATCAATGCGATGAATTAAATTAAACAACACCACACAACCAAACCAATCATCTAATTAACAAGACACCGTGGATAAGTAGGAAGAATGTTAGTATAGTTTGACAACATTACATGCCTCGTTATCATTGATGAATGCAATTGATTAGTTTGACCGATTGCCTCATTATCCACCACGGATCCCTTCTTTAAACAATCATCTTAGATTCGGTGAGCCCACATAACATGCCTCATTATCATTGGGAATTTTTCTCTCTCTTTTGTTTTTTGACAAGGAATTTTTTTATATTCTCAGAATTGTCCTACACCACATAAAATTGAAAGACGTCAATCATCCTTCATCCACCTCAACTGCTTTCAATATATGTCAAACATGCACCATCAAGAAAGCAACAGAGTGAGCAAACAAAGCAGCACAAAACATGAAGAGAGCAGAGCTGGTTTTCGTTCCCACACCGGCTGTTGGCCATCTTGTATCAGCAATAGAGTTTTCGAAACGATTATTGGACGGTTGTGATCGATTCTCAATCACAATCCTCGTCATGAAACCGCCATTTGAACCCTCTGCTATTCTGAACTCAAACACCAGCGCACAATCGCTTGCTGCCTCCCACGGCCACATCAAAATCATAGACCTTCCCACTGTGAACCGCCCACTTGAGCTTCTTCAACAGTCTGTGGAAAAATACATCACAGTCTACATGGAGGGCTACAAGAACCATGTGAGAGAAGCCATAGCTAGCCATGTCTTGCCCAGTTGCTCTGTTTCTGGTTTAGTGGTTGATATGTTCTGCACCACCATGATCGACGTGGCCAACGAACTCAAGGTTCCATCATTTCTGTTCTTCACTTCTGGTGCTGGCTTTCTCGGCTTCCTGCTCCACCTTTCGAGCCGCTACGACCGAGTCGGCACGGTGTTTAAAGAATCGGACTCCGAGTCAGTGGTACCGAGTTATGTCAACCCTGTTCCTGCAAGCGTAATTCCTTCATTTGCTTTCAGCAGCGACGGGTACGTTACCTTCGCAAACCATGCCAGGAGGTTCAAGGAAACGAAGGGTATAATCGTCAACACATTTGTTGAGCTCGAATCCCATGCGGTTGGCTCACTTTCGGATGGTGAAACCCCTCCTGTTTACACAGTGGGGCCCTTGATTGGCGTGCATCCTGCGCAGCATTCTGATCATCAGAGCAAATTTGACAAAATCATGACGTGGCTTGATGATCAGCCTTTCAAATCAGTGGTGTTCCTCTGCTTTGGGAGCTCTGGGAGCTTTGATGAGGCCCAGCTGAGAGAGATTGCTATTGGCTTAGAGCAGAGTAAGCAGAGGTTCTTGTGGTCCGTACGCAAAGACCCGCCCAAGGGCAAGTTTATGGTGCCAGAGGAGCACACAAGTCATGAGGAGTTTCTGCCTCGAGGGTTCTTGGAGAGGACCAGTGGGGTCGGGATTTTATGTGGGTGGGCCCCACAGGTGGAGGTCCTGGCCCACAGGGCGGTGGGAGGCTTCGTGTCACACTGTGGTTGGAACTCAATAATGGAGAGCCTGTGGCATGGTGTGCCTGTTGTGACTTGGCCTCTGTATGCGGAGCAGCAGATCAATGCGTTTCAGATGGTGAGGGACTTGGGGCTGGCTGTGGAGCTGAGATTGAACTACAGAAAGGACGGTGTAGATCATTTTGTGGTGGCTGATGAGATTGAGAGGGCTGTGAGGTGTGTGATGGACGGTAATGATGAGCTGCGGAAGAAGGTGCAGGAGATGAGTGGAGTGTGTAGGAGGGCTGTTGGTGATGAGGGGTCTTCATCTGCTTCATTTGAAAGATTGATTGAAGTTATGCTGGCACGCTTTAATTAAAGCAGTTGATTTTGTGTGCAGGGTCACAATTTTAGCGCAGACTTTTATGAATGCACGGTTTGCTTTGCTTGAGTAAATCTCACGTTTCTACTTTAATCTAATTTAAATTATGTAATTAAGAATTTAAACTCAAGTGCAGAATACATCCGTTCTAACTAACTTCACTAAGCATGTATACAATTAAATCTCTTTCTAAGTGGCACAAATGTTTGGAGGAATGTTTAACTCCAAATGCCAATAATGTTGCTGTTAATGAGAATGCAGGTTAAAAAGACAATGAAATGAATAAATTAATTAATGAAACAATAAAGAATTACAAATGGGGGAAGCCTTCAAATATTTCCATCTCTCAGATAATTGGAGAGCCTCACATGGTCCATGGGATCTCTCTTCTTTTTCTTGAAATGTTTAGAGGCAGCTTTTAGCACCTTATTCCATACCTGACCACAAATGACAAAACCTTCATATGTTAGAAATCCAGTCACCAGATTGATTTTAGTTCTAAGTTCTTCCCCTGCAAAACAGAGGAATTGGCGCTAAAACAGAAAACAAATTCCCAAAACTTTGATGCTAACAACTGCATCTTTATGGGTTGCCTTAAATTCTCATCTCTTTCCCCAAAAATTTCATGTTTTACTTCAAACAGCTTGTAAATTGTGATCATTTTCAGAGAAAATCTCAAAAGGGTAATCTCAGATTCAGTGATCTTAACCTTCTGCTCTAACCCAGATTCTTCCAGCTTATAAAAACATGTATATAAAATAAATAAATAAACAGAAAGATCTAAGAACCCAGATGAAAAAGGCAGTACCTTTGAGGCTAAGGGGTTACAATGAACCTTAACAGGAGTTGGAGAGAAATCAGAAGTCAATGCCATCTTGCTTTTCTTCTTCTTCTTCTTCATCATCTTGTTCTTCAAAGCACTCCTACTAATATTAAATCCAGCGGTGGAGATCTTCTTCTTAATACTAGAACTGACTTTCTTGATACTGCTTTGACTTTCCAACTCCAACCCCATCTCGAAATTGAGCTTCCTTGGCGTCATGAAATCGAAATCCAAGTCCAAATCCATGGGAGCATGAGCCCGAGGGACCAAAGGGGACCATATTGAACTCTGAGTGTAGTCAAAATCGAAAGCAGAGTTGTCTGGAAACTTGCAGACAAGCTCTTTTGACATCACTGGCTGCAAATACTCCACCACTTTGCAAGTGCTGCTCAAAACTATGAACCTCTCTCTTTCTTCTTCTTGTTCTTCTTCTTCTTCTTGTTGTTTCAGTGAAGTGAGTGAAACTGCTTCTTTTAATGCCATTTGTGATGTAAAGCTAAGAACTTTTGTGCTGGTGAAGTTTGGTTTTGGGGTTTTAATTGGAATTTGGAGCAGCAAAGGGGAAGACAGAAAGGGGAAGTAGAAGACAGAGACAAGAAAGTTACCGTTGGCTTGGGTGTTAGTGTTTTCTTAAAGTCTTTTGACTATAATAACATCTGAATATGATGTCCAACGGCCAAAAACAAACGTTATGTGTCTGACTAATTTTTTTTTAGATATATCGGGCCCAGGCCCAAAATAATCTAATATGATTGATTTGGCCCACTTGCTTGGTTCTATTAACACCCAGATAATCTCTCAGCTAACTTTTTCTTTTTTCTTTTTTCTTTTTTTTTGTCTTTTGGCTTTTTAATTTCCATTTTTGTTCTTAAGAAATCAAGATCCTAGTCAGTAAGTAAATCTTGGTTATTGAGTAAAACCACAAAAGTTTTACTAAGAAAAAACTCCCCCAAAAGTCATCAATCTATCCCCTTAAAAATTCTCCCTTATTTGAACTTGGCTATGACAGATAGGGGTCATGGTTAGTACCGGAAAGGTCAGCGAATACAATTAAACTACAAACGAAGAAAAGGAAAATTAAATGTGAGATTAAGCAGATGACTTTCGTTCTTAGTAGTTACATGTTCACACATCTTAATACTTTAAGGAAGAGATTAGAAAAATCCAAGGCTTTTCACAATCATTACTAATCCAAAATATTTCATTTCTGAAAATAAAAGACGTGCAAACTGCTACTTAACAAAAAGGAAAAGCAACTTAACAGATTTTTCCTTGAAGAAAGAAATCTACGAAGTCCTTCTGTGTCATCCAAATGATGACTCACTCATAGGTCCAAGAAAGGGATCCAACGACCGATCACATCCCTCACTAGAATTCCACTTATTTCTTCCGGACCAAGACCTCTCTTGTTGAGGCTGCAAAGGAATTCTCGCGAGCAAGTTCGCAGCCAAATTTCCATACATGTTGACATGTCGGAGCCACACACTCCTAGTATCTGCATTTATTAACAAGCCCCCTGATCATAGAGCTAGTTCTGGTGACGTTGCCCCACATCATCCGAAACACAAACGGATGATTTCCTTCGATTTCAAGGTAATCGACACCTTCACGTTTAGCAAATTCAAGGGCCCGGCTGAATGCAGTCAACTGAGCCCTTGTAAAGCTGCTGACCATGCCTACATGTTGCGCAAAGGCAGCTTTAAATACAGCATTGTGATCTCTCATAATGCAACCGACTGAAGCAGTCTTTGATTCGTGCTTGTAATGACCTGTGAAGCTGAGCTTCCAGAAATCATTCAAGGGTTGGAGTCCAAGCAATGTAGCGGACACATGGTCCCTTATGAGTGATTAGCATCCTTTGGGAAGGGTCTGCGGCCATATTTCTTATTGTCCTGAATAAGGCTGTGGTTTAGCAAACACACAATGATGGATAACTTGAACAATTGAGCAGATTTTATACTAGAGTTAGCTTAATTTCCCTGTTATGCCTTTTCAAGTCATAGATTATAAAAAGGGAGTTTCACTAAAACACCCAAAATGGGGGCTGAAATTATAAAAAACCCAACACCCAAAACACTTTATAAACACACCCAAAACCCATCATTACACACACTCAAAACCCACTTATAAACACACCCAAAAAATATACAATTATTGATTTTGGGTGTGTTTCTATGTTTAAATAGTGCTTGGGTTTTTTTATAAATACATGTCTAGGATTGGGTTTATTTATAAATTTGTATTATAAAAATGGTAGATATCGTATATGGCAGGGGACCGTTGCGACGGCCAGATAATTTATTCAATTGCTTTTTAATGTTTGAATTTGAAATTTAAAAACATAATTTGCATTTTGAGTAGTGAAGCTAATTAAATTGCTTCCTAAATTCAACAAAAGTTCAAGCCTGGATTGTTATAGATAGCATAATTTTTTCCAATTGAACTCTGAAACATAACTTACATGCTAAGTAATGGAGCTTTTTAAATTTGCTTTCTAAATTCAAGAACAGTTCAGGCCACACTTGTTATAGATGGCGTCGGGTTGGCAACGGTCCTATAATTTATTGTCCAAGTTTAAAGGTTGTGTTTAAATGTGAACTCTGAAACATGATTTACATACCAGATGGCAAAGTGGTGTTGCCAAACAGTTAAAAAAAACAGGATGACGTGGAGATTTTAATTTAACAGTTAATAACAAGAATAAGAGCTACACAATTTATTTACCTATGTAAGCCTGCTTAATGAAGATTACAATTTCTTTTTCAGCAAATTCTAGCAAAGGAGTTCATCTGGGCTTTTTAGTTGTTCTTAGTTAAAACTGAAAGTCTTATGTGTCTGCAATGAAATATATAGAGAGTAAGAAATATGCTCAAACTACGATGACACATTTAGCTTTGATGACAAGCAAAAGTTTTATGCGGCTCTCTGGTTCCCAAATTTGGTATATTTTGATCTTCCTGGTTACATTCCCAAACAAAAACTCCTAGGTTTCAGGTTCAGTGATGAGCATGAACAAAGAGTTCTGTAATATTGAAGTTCTAATACCACATCAAGCTGAAAAACATGCATTAGTGTGTGAAATATGATTGCTAAGTGTCACGGGATGAGCGAGCGGCGCGGCGCGGCGGAAGCGAAACACAAATTTCGCCACTCAAAGCACACCCGTGCGGCCTAGGATCCCATCGAATCCCAATCAGCCTTCTCCCACTTCATGATATTCATGACTCTCACAACTCCGCGAGAGGTTCCCCTTCAAGTGTCGTCTTCCCCTAGACAACGAGTCACACTACCATGTGACAATACAATCACTCCGCATCCGGCAACGAACCCTCGACGCCCATACATCAAGCGTTGCATAAGACACGTCAACTGCATCGACCACGTCGCATGCTTAACTCCTGGCTCGCCCATGTCCAAGTCAAGACATAGCGATCCCACACCATCGGTTTACCCACACTTCTGTCGGTCATTCCTTTAGCGTCCACGATAGCCCACATCCTCAAGCTATACACGCAAGCTGTCATACTTGCATGTCGCCCAAGCCTTGGCGACATATGTCTTCCGAATGTCCCACATAACCATCTATGCATTGCATGGGGTCGCAACCCATGCGTACCGGCATCCGAATATCTTCCTTCCATCTTGGACAAGGCCGAACCCAAGCCAAGTCCATCGAGTATTGTCAAATGCCTCGCTAGCCGATGGCATAGCGAATGCCATACGTTGACCTCACTCTTTACCACGATGCGCAATACGAACGGCCCCGCGTGTTCGTACTGTCCTCGGGAATTCCTTTCCCTCGGAGACACAGATTATCCTTTAACAATCTTATGCCCGCCCTTATGACTACCTCCAATGTCATAAGGATGCTCGTTTAGTGCCACAAGGGTGTAAGCACCAGGGGTGGTGGAGAGCATGACACCATGTCACCCCCTATATAGCATTTTATGCATTTAGCCTTCTGCCAGGAGGGAACATCACCTATGCACGAGGAGTCATAATTGGGCATAACTCCCTCATACGAACTCCGAATGGCGAACCGTCAGTTGCGTATCCTGCGTCTCGACATCACGAACATTTCGGTTTTTTTGGTTCCCTCAGGTTCCTCCCGTAACCTTCGGAAATACCCAAAATACCCCTCACAAGTGCAACCCGGCCAACACCAACCATTCTAGCTCTTGAGCTCTAGCCTTTTCCACACTTAGACTACCTCTTAAGCGCATAGATGTCCCAACGGAGTCACGGTAGCATTTGTCTATGTGCGACCCGTGACATAAGGCAGGAAAGGATGTTAAACTATTTTGGAATATTAACCCCGAGGAACCATTTAATAACAAGTTAATAGCTTCCTGAGAAATGTAGAACCTGAGAGAGAGAGAGAGAGAGAGAGAGAGGAGAGAGAGAGAGAGAGAGAGAGAGAGAGAGTAAGTTTGTTTCTCTTTGAGTGAAAAAAGGTTTTATCGCTTGGAACCTCTCTAAAGCTTATGACAGAGTGAACTGGTATTTTCTGGAGTATGTTCTCAAAGAGATCAATCTTCATGAGTCTACAATCCAACGGATCATGCAATGTGTCTCCACGGTTCAATTCTTGTGAATGGTGAAGCTACCCCGCCTTTTGAGGAGTGAGACAGGGGATCGTATTTGTTATTGGTGTGTCTTGAGAAGCTTTCTCACATGATTAGTGAGGCTGTTGTCAAGAATGAGTAGAGAGCTGTCAATATCTCTAGAAATGGCCCTAAGATCTCCCACCTGTGTTTTGCGGATGATCTGCTCCTTTTGGATGAAGCTAGTACCAGACAGGCTAGAGCGATGAAGCAATGTTGTTTCCCTCTTTTCAACCAAGGCGGCCGACGAAAGGAACTTTTGGTCCTTCTTATTTTTTGAGTGCGGGGCATGCCACCACCAAGCCACGAATTTGGCTTGAATGGAATGTAAGTGTATGTTGTGTCCGAGATCTGATTTTAATCAAACGATTGTTCGGCCGATCAAAGAACCTCCTCACGGCCTAGGTTCTTTCACTACCTTGGGGTCAAGCCTTTACATGAGCAACCAAATGACGTGGAGTGGGTGAAGATGAAGATTGAAGGTGAACATAATGAAACGAAGAACAAGTGCGTAAAGTAAAGCTGCTTAAATTTAAATATAATTTAAAGATAAATGCGTAAAGTAATGTGCGTAAAATAAATAATGTAAAGACGAGAATTAAATTATGATAAAATAAATCAAAGTGATAAATAAACAAGAACGAAATAAGAACGATA